GGTTCTGTTTTTCTGGGTGTCAGTGTCAGTTCTCTGTGCCCGACTGGAGAAACTATTTTTCAGTGGTGTAATGTAACGAAGTAATAATACTTCGTTACAGTACTTAAGTATTTTTTTGGAGTATCTTTACTTTACTTGAGTTTTTATATTTCAGCCAACTTTTACTCCACTACATTTCCTAATTAAAATGTATACTTTTACTCCGATACATTTCCCCGAAGCATATTCGTTACTTACTACAAAATAAAGTCAGAAGAACACGGACTGCAGGAAAGCAGGTTTGATGAATCAGTGGTCTGGCGTTTGCAAGTTAGACTCCTAAAAAACACCTTTGCTCATGTGCAAACAAGTGCGCGTACAACCGTGGATGATTCATTTTCCACTCAGGTTGAGGCTGGGGTGTGTGCGATACAGCATCATCTGCGATAATATTGTAAGTGTTGTTGCAATGATGTGCAATCTGACATTATCAAGTAGGCTATATCACCAAATCACACACAGAGTGCATGCATGTTGATTTATTAGTCTATTAAAACTCAAAATTCCAGGCATTCTAAATTGTAGACGACAAAAATGCTTCTGTATGCTTTTTATATTTATATAATTTAATATAGTTCAGATCACAGCACTGTTTTGCATCTCTGAGCAATGGACGGTGTTTACTTAATTGAATGAATCAGCTTTTTGAATGAATCAGTTGAATAAATGATTCAGTGATTCACTCATTAGTCAAATGCTTTGTTTCTGAATGAATCAGTCGTTTGAATGAATCGCTTGAATCTCAATGACTCACTCATTAACAGTCACTTGCTGTCACCTACTGGCGGTTTTAATTGATAGCTTCTCATTCAGCCCCGAGATGTCAGAGTAATTTGACACAGTGGGACTGAAGAGTCAGGACGAATATGGTTTCTCCCACGATCTCGATACCTCAGCATGGAGATCAGGGAAAAACGGAAGGCCCCGTCGTGAAGGCTGTGATTTTGATCTTAGTAAACGCTCGTCCAATTGGCTTTTGGGACGAGCGTCCTGTTTCTCGGCTGGCCACTCGATATTTAAAGGGTTAGTTCACCCAAAAATGAAAATTAGTCCATAAATTACTCACCCTCAAGTCATCCTAGGTGTATATGACTTTCTTCTTTCAGACGAATCCAGTCGGAGTTATATTAAAAATTGTCTTTGATCTTTCAAGCTGTTTCATGGTACTCAGCGGGTGTTGCATGCATCAGTCCAAAAGAAGTTAAATAAAAAGCGCCCATCCATAAAAAAAAAAGTGTATCACACAGCTCCGGGGAGTGAACAAAGGCCTTCTGTCTTTATTACTACAAAGGCCTTCTATTACTTGAGCGCAAGCTACATTAAAGTGATTATTACGTTTTGAATATGGATATTTTTCTTACAAAAACGCATCGATTCGCTACAGAAGGCCTTTGTTCACCCCCCGGAGCCGTGTGAGACACTTTTTATTAATGGATGGTCGCTTTTTATTTAACTTCTTTTGGACTGATGCATGCAACACCCGCTGAGTGCCATGAAACAGCTTGAAAGATCAAAGACAATTTTTTATGTAACTCCGACTGGATTCGTCTGAAAGAAGAAAGTCATATACACCTAAGATGACTTGAGGGTGAGTAATCTATGGGCTAATTTTCATTTTTGGGTGAACTAACCCTTTAATTTGGCTACAGCGCAAGTCACAACCTTCATGAGCTCCTCATATGCGAGGGACTGTGGTGGCGAGTCCACAGTCACCTCCGTGTCGACGCTCATCATGTCAACCTCCTCAGAGGAAGACAGATGAAGCGTTTGGCTCTCTCTCCGGATGGAAAAAACCATGGGGCAGGCTTCCAAGAGAGCCGTAGATCTAGCAGGTGAAGACCGAGATAAGGACGAGCCCGTCTCGGATCCCTCCGCTAAATCCACTTGCGATCCTCACGATAACAGCCGCCGCTGTGCCTCGGTAACAGCGGGGCCGGACCCAGCAGGATCGCGAACCTGGCCACTTTCATCGAAGACGGCCTGGCAGGAGCGGAGCACACGGAGCAGGAGAAGCTCACAATCATGAAAGTCAGCCTCCTCGAGAGCTGACCGTGCATGCTCCGCTCTCAAACAGACGACGCACAAATCGTGTGTATCCCCACCCGAGATATAGTGTGGGCAGGGAGCGGACGACTTGAATCGTCCACTCACCACAGATTTGGATTTACACTTTGACATTTTTTCACTCGCTTTCTTACAAGAGTTTTTCCTGACTGACTGTGCTTATGCAGACACACACGCATACACCACAGATGAGCTCGCTGAAGAGCAAAAGCTAACATGTGCGTTGGCCGGATGCACTTTTATACTTCCTGGTTGCTCACGTCACCCCGCTCGTGACGTCTTGCTTCTCTATTGGACTGATTTCATACATGCTTCAGAACGTGTTCTTGCTGGGGGCGTTCCCAAAGCACCGAACATTTGTCTTGCTGTAAACAGGCCTTCAGACTTAAACAAGTGATTTTTGCTACTTTACCTTTAAGACTTTTATTTGTAAATGAGCTTTGTTGTTATTGATCATCTTCTTTACATGTAAAATGAGTAACATGTATGTACCACATCAGTGAACTGGTACAAACCATTGGCAACTATCAACAGTAGAGCAAACGATCTACCATATGATACAGTTGGATGATATACCCACTAGCAAAGATTAAGTCACTTTCAGTGTACATGTTCTGCATAATGGACATCTGACACTCATGTTTGCAGACCTACAGCTTGGGTCACAGGGTAGAACAGCAATATACTGATGTGTGTTGTTTGCTGTAGGGTCCGTCTCGTATGAGGCTCTCAAAACCATTGATCGCAGCAGTCAGTGGGTACGCTGTGGCTGGGGGTCTTGAGCTGGCCCTGCTGGCTGACCTGAGGGTGGTCGAGGAGAGCTCCATCATGGGTGTTTTCTGCCGCAGATTTGGTAGGTATTGTTTTCGCTTTTATTGTACTTAGATGTGTTATTTTGCTTAAAGTTGAGGTAGGAGTGGCATTGGCCAGCATGGCTTTGTTTGCTCATACCTATAACTCTGGATCAGGGTTGGGGGAAGGGGTTTGTGTTTGGGAATTTTTTCTTCTAAAAAAAATCTTGAAGAAAATCCTGATATTAGTATAGAATTACTTGTTGTTTAGGTAATAATGTTGTTTTGAAACAACACCAATATATATGGTAACATCTAAAACAGTTAAATGAACATCAAAACTACAATTTAAATAACTTTACAGTAATGATAATTACATTTTTTTTGACAAAAACATTTTATAACATTTTATAAAATCATAAACCTCACATGATAATATAACATACATTGTATATTTGGTCTGAACAACAGCAGTTAGTGAAAATGCATATTAACTCTTGCTTAGTAATAAATGTTTACTACAGTGGTAGACAATGACTTCTTTAACCCCCAAAATCAGCATAACCAAAAAGAGTAGATAGATGGAATGGCGCATCAGCTTATAGGACACACTCAAAGAAACACATCAAAATCAGAGACAACAAATAAGAAACACTAGCATGGCAGGTGTTGATTTAAAAGTATGACACTATTTATTCATAACAAGGGCAGGGTCAAAATTCAGAGCTGTTGCCAGGAATAACCAGGTGGCAGTGAGACATACAAGAGATGCTTACACACATACAGTACATGTACACACGTCACACATGCAAGATTGTCAAGCATGGGAAAAACAAATGGAACAATATAAATCCGCCACATTTTTCACTTAGATTAGTTAAGTGAAAGCATGTTGCCAAATAACATGTACCTCCAGCATACTTTGTCTATGCCAAAAAATGTGAGAATATATATTTTCAATGCTTCAAACTTAAAAAAAATTGCTTTGCGTGAGAAAACAGAGAAATATAAAGTTACAACTTTTTTGTTTTTCATTTGATTTAGTTCTGTCAGGACCACTATCGTCAAAGATGATTGACAATTAGCATACAGTTTGGATTGGCGGTATTAGTTTGGCATCAAAAACAACATGATTTTTGGTAATCAAGATCTGGCAGCAACAGCACAGTTTGCCGGTTGGGCGAGCAATTCATGGACAGCTTTTCTTGCGCATGGAATCACCCACATGACAATAAACAATGAGAACTTGGAGCAGTAATGATGATTCATAGCAGTTGAGTGTAGGTGCCAAAGCGGTTGTGGATACACTTACCCGAATCCCTCCATAACTGGTACATATTTGCAGAAAATTGCCATTTGGCAAATAAATAATTTACAGACAGTTACATATGTAATTATGTAAGCTTTACGTTACACTTCAAATGACAAGGGAATTTATATTATTGTTCATATTGATTAGCTAGTCCTTTAGCTAATTCTCTCAAATGGATTGGTTATGCAGAACATTCACAGCTTATATGGACTGCATGCCCCTGGATTACCATATTCATGTACTATGATATTACCACATTGTACAGTGGTACTTGCAGGATTCTATAAATGTCTGTATTATGAGTAATAAAATAAAATGCATCAATTTCAATCCAAACATAGTAAATTAAATCCTGCAATGCTAAACTATTGTAGACAGGCTTTGCAGTACGTAGAAAGAGAAGAGAAATTTGATGCAGTTTCATTCTGCATGTACTAGTTTCTCTATGCTACAGATATGACCACAGTGTATATAAATATGCCAGCAGTGCTATAATTTACTGCCAGGAACTGATTTTTCCAGCTGCTTGTTTAAAACATAGAGGCATCATCATGACCCTCTCTCTTTCATTAAACCAAGCATCCGGGCATTGCCCACATGTGCCTGTGGACCCGTTCCTCAGACTGTCTGCCTCTACTGTACTTGCGCCACCCATGAAGACATGACGCCTGCTGTCTTTAAGTCTTCACCAGCATTCTACAGTAATGATTAGTAAAATTGTTTGTGAAATGAAAAAAAATTGTGGTGCTTGCTAAGACAATTGTCTGCATTAATATTGTTTTTGTTTAGGAATTTGATGATCAAACCTATAACCCTTAAAAAAACTGGCATGTAACTTTACATGCACTACTTGTGAGGCTTGAATGATACCTCAAATCATATGTTTTGGTGAGGTATGCTATTACTTTTCTTATTAGACTTATAATTCTCACATGGACGAAAAAATTATCAAAATCAGATATACTCACTTACAAGGATGAACACAATCCATATAGAGAGCAGAATACAGTATATATTACTGTGAGGTAGACTCTTTTGAATTTGACCTTTAAGTTACCACCTACAATAACCTATAAACTGCGTAGTAACATTCTAAAAAAATCAAAACCGCTTAGTAACCACATAGCAAGTCCCTGGTAACTACGCACAGCACCATAACAATGGCATGCCAGAATTACTGCAATCACAAGATTCTGACTGGCAAAAAGCATTTACATCCTTGTAGATCTTGTAATTACAACTCTGACATTACAACATTGCAGTTTCATATATCACTTTACCAAATTATTTCAAATAGTCTTACAGTGTATAACAGCAAATAAGCCAAAACCCACAAATACAATGACTGAGCAAACACTGACAAACAATGACAATCAAAAGGATAAAAATTACAAACACTTTCCACATGTTTCCCACTAAATTACTCTCTATTACTCTCTAAATTACTCTCTCTGACTTGGGCTTCTTTTAACCAACTATAGTTTCATCAAACGCTAATACGAGTTTCAATAAGAGTAAATGAAACCCTACTTACAATCAATGCAACATCTTTAATTTGAACCATTTCACATTCTTAAAGCTGCAGTCCATAACTTTTTTTGGTTAAAAATGACCCGAAATCAATATTTGAGCGAGTACATAACCAGCCAGTGTTCAAAACTATCGCCTTACTTTAGCCCGATTCACAACGGTTAGCTTATAAT